GTTCAGTAAAGTTTTGAACAGGTTTGCCACATTTTAACAGACTTTGCTTCCTTAAGTTGATAATAAAATCAAAATATTTAGTCATTATCTTGTTTACTTCACTTGTATATAAAATCTTTGTCGTACAAGTTTAGCAATAGAAATACTATTTCAAAATTGGTAAAGTAATGCTATCATGACATATAAAAGTTTGGCACGGTTTCATTCACTTCAAGGCAATATTTCGGTTTTCGATGAGACCAATTCATATAGTCCCCAAAAATCACTTTTCCTTTGAAATTGAAAGCCGAATCACATTAAAGCAAGACTGTAATTGCGTATTTTCATATGAAGCATGTGAAGAACATTCGGAAATCAGGCGAAAACATTATCAGTGAGTGTAGGCTTGCTGAAAAAATAATTACGATTTTGCAGGTCTAGGGGTCACGCAATTTGGGGGTACGGAAGATCACAATCATCACAGACATTAAGCATTATAGTCAAATTGACTAGAAATCCTCTCGAGAGGCAACAGGCGAACAGAAATAGACGCACAGTCTGCTCAAGGTACACGAGTTTAATCAAGGAGATTAGCCATGGAGACAATGCCCGACATGTGCAAAAATGGAAATCAAAACCTAGGCGATCTGCTCGGTCAGGCGACAGTGTACATGCCTCTTGAGAGATGGAATATAAGGAAGTCAGAAGTTGTGATAAGGTGGAAGTGAGATAAGAGGATATCGATTAGATAGATTGATCAGGAATGATAGCACAATTGTTCGGCAGAAAGTTGGTCAAGAGGTTGACTTTTTTGTGATGGATTGTAGGTTGATGTCAGGGGAACATCTGGGAAGGTGCCATGTTCACGGTCAAACACTGGGATTTATGGTAGCTGCTATAGCAAAGAAATTCGGACAAGGTGAATCAAACTAGATCAGCTTGACAATAGGAGAAAAGTTGTGAAAATAAAATCACATAACTTGTATACATCCAAGGGAGATTGCGACAAAAATAAACTCAACATCTTGGTTTTTATCATCCCTCATCTAGGTTCTAGGAATGTTGATCAGAGTCTGCCATATTTTTAGACAGTCCTCCTTCCCTAGGTATTACCACAGTCTCTCTCTTGCTCCGTAAGATCCGTCTGTCCTCTCCCTGGTTCACATATTTCATTCGACCCCTGCCACCCCATCTGTGCCACTCGAGGCATTATTCGCCTTCTGCTTCTGTGTGACTAATTTGAGGCTAAAGCCTCTGAGTAAGTGTCATAATCAGGCCTTTGTCAAATGAATCCCGTCTCTTATAAAAACTAGTGTCAGCCCACTAGCTCCCATTGCCGCCTCGTCTATCATGTTTCTATCTTCAACACCAAGTATATGACTTACCATGCCTAAGTCTCTTGTGGGCCAACCCACAAATGTTGAGGTACTGCTTGCTTTGGTTAGGTTCAATGTTCTATAGAAGTTGTTATTTTAGGATGGTTACCCCAAAGATCAAATATGGCAACGCTAAAAATAATAGAATATTTTGGACAGACCGATGCCAAGATTCCATGATGTTATACTGCAGCATTAAGGCATGTAAATTAAATTTAGAGAAAGTAAAATTTAAATAGAGACAAATAAATTTTAGTACGAGCAAAATCACCTCACTGGCAGAGTTTAGAGTCTTAATAGATGCACCGAAATATAATGTGGAACCTTCATTAATACTAAACGATGAAACCATTAATCTAATTTGGTACTAGATCTATAAAACGAAATTTTTTTATATATTAAGGATTAAAGAGATTGCCAAATGATAGGAGGGTAGACATATTCACAAATATAAATAAGAAATTATATACGGGCTTTTTGTAAAAACATATTTTCATAGTTCAAATAAGCAATACAATTTACAATCTGAGTATTGTTTTAAGTTTAGCTAACTAATTTTAATTCTGTTAAGACTAAAAAGAATGAATTTGGGAACCCTAACTGATCCATAATGGGTTGTGATGGGAATTATTTGCCTAAAGTGGATGAAAAGTGTGGACAATAAGTTATTCAGAAAATAAAGAATTTGGCTAAATACGCAATGAGAAAAAATAAAAATAAAAAACAACTTGGTCATATTGGTAGAAAGACCTAGAGAAACGCACCTATTACGGAGTCCATATCAGGCATGATACTTTCCAAAGTTTAAACGAGGATCTGGTATATTTCCAGAGGTTTCGCCGGCATCACAGACGGCATCGTCAGTCTTGCCATTCTTAGCACCACATTACAACTTTTCAAAGAGACAAGACGACTTGACGAGTTGTAGTAAGGTGCTAAGAACGGCAAGACTCATTGAAGATGCTGGCAAAACGGCTGTGAATGTACCACGTTCACGGTCCGACTGGAAATTAGCATGCATACTATAGACTAAGGACTAGATATATTCCTCTAAGTATTCCTGTCAATATGACCAAGTTGCGAAAACAAGGTAAAACAATTTTTACACAACTAAAAGACACTGTAATCATACAAAAGTCCATACTATCTTGTTCTTCATATCTTCGATAAAAAAAGCAAATTTATAATAGAAATGGTACCCTGAGTGGCTTTGCGTTTGCCTCCCATGGTGAAGGTAACGGGCACAGAAGTGGGAATATTTGAACGAACCAATGCAAGGGAAGTAATGGTCTTCAGAGGACACTGGAATGAAAGGTTTACGATATAAACGGATATTCAAGAAGTACTGAATAATATCGAAATAATAATTTACTAAATATTGATGAAGATCCTTGGGTAGAAGATTGAAATAAAAGATAATTGGCAGGTTGACCATAGGTATAGGAGGGTAAAAGAAAAAGATGATACGAAGGTAGATTAATGGGTTAATGGACAGAAAGACAAGAGGTCGGAAGACGGGTAGCATCTAGAAGCTGAGTAATGCCCAAAACGATTTTAGCGGTGGAAATCTCCAGATAAGTGGTTTTGAAAAGCTAGGAAACACCAAATAAATAATTGTATACATTTGTAACTGCTGTATAAATTCGATAATTATATATATAAATGCTGTTTTCCCTCACAAATGCATCATAAGAATTCAAGGGGTGCAAAATATTCGAATGAAAATTGTTTGAGGGTCTATGAGGCTTCTGTGTGGGTATTCGGAATAGAAATTTAAAATGGCCGGTCGTATGATGATAGATCAACTAAGTCAGAGAAAAAATAATTTATTCTACATACTTCGTATTCAAAGTAATCTACAGCAAAGAGGAGGACGTGCACCAGATGCGTAGCTTTTGTAGGGCCAGCTGTCTGCAGCCAAGTTCGCAAAACATCACGAGGCAGGTGGCATAGAAGCCAAACGGTAGAGAGAAGAAGACGACGAATGGTAACTTCTTCATATAAATGGGTTTCGCCTGGTATATTAAAAATCAAAAAATGATTAAAATCGTGATAAAATGGTTGAGACGACAAGTTATTGAAAGAAATAATATGTAAAAGTGCATATTGGTATTTTTTCCAAAGTTAGATTCAAGTACTTGAATCTAAAGATAGTTAAAATTCAAGTAGGTATTCCAATAAAATGTAAGTTTAAAACAAATTATAGCAATTCAGTAATTTAAATAGAAGTAGATGTAGGAAAGGAATCGTATTTAGCCTGAGTTTCAAGAGATGAAAGAATGATAATTGAATTTTCTCACGATCGTGTAAATAGGTCTCAAAGTAGCAGAGGATTTGACTTTGTCGCCAAAAACGTATTTTTATCCTGAGTGGACCGCAGTTGCGACCAAGCCTACGTTTTATCATAGTGTATTAGTAACATTTTGAGAATATGTGTTGAAATATAGGGGTTCAATTTCTATTTTAGATACTAATGAGATCTGAGTGAGGCCAAAACTGCAGTTAACCCTGGACAATAATCCCTTTAAAGGAGCAAAGCTAGTGAAATCATATCATTGTGGGAAAACTCAACTAATAGTCCTAAATTTCATGCAACTAAAAGTGAATATAGTCTTATTCAAATTATGTCTGTACACATATTGATGTTGATCCAAAGTATTATATAAAAATGGTTGGCAAGACTGAGAAGATAATTGGTCCCTGATAGGATTTTGGCTAATTTTAAAAAAATGTAGGCCTGGAATCACAGTAGGGTAGGATCTTTCCCTATTATATCAGAGTAGCAAGATAATTGAGACCATAAAAAGCTAACCAAAACAATTGGCTGCGGAGGTTTCAAATAATTTGAAATCAGAAATAATAAAATAAAAATCTACAAATCGTGGAAGAGTTTGGATCCACAACATTGAAGACGGATTTAGTTGATGAGGAAATAGATTTAACTGCTTATATGAAGAATATTTTAGATATGGATATGCAGATTAAAACAAATGGGATAATATGGCATTAGAAGTATACCAAGATATGATGATTTATGTTGGTAATATGGAGTGCGTGAATATTAGAAATGAGAATGCAAATCAATGATAGGGTAAATAAACAGAAATAATTGGAGGGAAAGATAAAATAGAACATTCTACAGGCAAAAATATATCTCACTTGTGCGTAAGTGAGCATTCTGTAGCCCAGCAGTCCAATCCGGCAAAAAAAGACATTCGCACCAATAAAAGCTGGATAAACCGAATGCACCATCACATGTGTTTCCGAGTGCATCGCAGCCAACAGGAGTGCCTGAGGTCAGGATTCCACGACCGCTTGTATCTCCAAGTGTCACATTACCCACTTCCCGAGTAGGATTCGTGCCACCTGTAAAAGTGGTCGAGGATCCAGAACCACTTCCACTAGTAAGTCGACGCACAGCCTTTTAAACATAGGATAAAAATAGGCGAATAAACACTAAAAGTAAAAAAGAAGAGTTAATTTAGGTAAATTATGGCTTTCTAGATGCCTTGAGGAACGAAAGTAATATATATATATAGCCCTCATACAATAAGAGATTTAAGTTTATGTATCCTTCATTGTATATGTAGGTTTTCGAGACTACCAGTAGATCCGACATAAGAGCTATATTCATTAGTTTAAGTTGATGAATTGTAGTAGTTCAATTTTATTATAATAATATGAGTAGGTCTCATGTCTCTACTGAAGTTTATATTACTTTGCTGCCCAAAAGGTAAGCTAATCCAAAGTGGGCTACAGTTTTGACCTCGCCTAGGTTTCACTAGCAACTCCGGTGATCAAC